GAGCGGTTTAGTGTCTTTTAGTGTGTTTTGTTTTCCTGGCCTACAAACTAACCTTGTTTTCTGCATAAGCTTTGTAAAACCCACTGTACACTGTCTGGCCAACACAAAATGTCAGACAGACACAGATACTGACTGGTTGGTGAACACAGTGGAGCACTTAGCTGTTAAAGAGTCAGATTTCTATCTGACGAGTTAGTGGAGACCAAAGCACAGCTAAAAAAAAAAAGAGTGAACTTTAGACTTGTATATACTAGCTGGCCAGAAACACGAGTCCACATGAATGTTAACATTGCTCTGCATCTGCCAGATGTGTAAAAAGATTTGGTAAAAGTTTACCATACCATCTACAGTATATATAGATAATGTTGGTTTTAATATCTCCTACAAGGAGGTTATGTTTTTGGTTTTGTGTGTGTGCTTGTTGGTTAGTAGGATTATGGACAAACAGCTGGATGGATCATCAGCATACTTGGTACAGACATTGGTGGGGACCAACCCTAGAAGTGAGTAGATTTAGGCTGAAAAAGGTGAAAAGTCAAGGTAACAAAAATAATAAAAATAACAATACCCCCTATCTTTAAGATGATGCAAAATTAGAAAAAAATCACATCAAAAGTTGTCTAAGTCACTTGAAATTTGACACATATTTAGGGTAGCAATGTCTTTGGCCAGACCAGATTTCATCCAAATATGATCCAGATTCTGGATCTGATGGCCATTTAAAATTAGCATTGAAAGCCCCATTTAATGCATATTTTCAGCCAAAACTTGGACAGTAATAAAGCTAGAACTGCAACATGATCAGGTAAGATGCACAGTATAACTGCCTATCATAACATGATCCAGATCATGGATTTCAGGACACACTTTGTGTTGTTCTGGACCTCATTTTTGACAAGGAACCCATTTGTGTGAGCGACTGTTGTGCCTTGGTGGAGGCACATGTACTGTCTGAGTGCTTTTGCTTATGTTGTTTGTTGCTTTTAAAATATTTATAATGTTATTTAAATCTATGGTATGTCACTTTTAAAAAAATATTTGTGTTGTAGCACTATGTTCCAAAACTTGTGTTAATGTGGAGAGGTGCTGTCAAAGCCTCTTGTGACTCAGACTCATTGAGCAGCACGGGTAGCAGTGCAGAGACATTAGCTTCTTAAAAGGCTTTGAGCAGGATCCACCTCTATAACTAATCACAGATTTTCACTTATTTCTGCTTGATCAGTAAATATTTGTTGCATTCTCATTTCTTGTAATTCCATAACGTCATATCTGAAGAGCTGGGCAGAGCGTGGAGGAGCAGGGAGAGGGAGTGCTGGGCGGAGCAGAGCAGATTACTTTGGTGATTCATGCCTGGGGGTCACGGCTGTAGTTTTACATGTGTTAAAGCTCTGATTCCCTACAGTCATGTCCACAGAAGGACTTGGGATCTTTTCAGTGCAGATCCACAGGAGGACTTGGGATCTTTTCAGTGCAGATCTGAGAATTATTTGACCAAGGATTGTCATTCTGTTCCTCATATATACATTCATTTACACTGCAGCCTCACACACCTGACCTTGACATCTGTTTCTGAAACCATCTTTGTGATAAAATCAGCCACACTTCAGAAAATCACCTGAAACCAGTGTTTCCCTTCAAACGATGTACTGTTAGCCTCTCCCATTCTGAGTGCCTGCTTTTTTATTCTCTGCTCTTTGCAGCACAGTCAAGCGTTTCATTCACTAAGGAATGTGATTAAAGTGGTTCTGAACGTGATCACTGGTGTCAGGCATGCCAGTTTCAGCCTTTCAGAAATAGCTGCCATTCTTGCTCTATAATGTCTAGAATTTCCAGAGATTGCTGTGATAAGCAGTTACAGTCCTGAGGGCACAAGATGCCATAACAAGGATGTCAGAGAGAGTGGCAAGGCTCATTCACTCTAACAAGTATGCAAATAAAGCATCCCGACAGTGATGTGCAAAAGGGCAGCTTGAAAATACAGCTGTCAGGCTTTGAAGTGAATGGGCTCCAGCAGCGGAAGAAGAGAATGATGCTGAGAACATGCTCCTCAGCACAGGACATTAGACTAGAAAAATGCTGCATAGTCTTCCTTAGCTACATGCTGATGACGGGGTCAGAAACTGGCATAAACAGCATAAATGCTTTCCACTGTCACAAGTACAGACTGCTGGTGGGGTAATGATGTGGGAAATGTTTTCTTGGCTGCACTAGACCCGATTAGGCCCAGTTATAACAGCTGTGCTTCACTGTGCACTCTGGAAGTCCTCAAACATTATTGCTGACCAGGTGTATCCACTTTTTGCCCATAGTCCTTTTGCCCCATGATTGATGATGACATGACTGTACTTACATGTGAATACTGCAATTAGGGCGATGGTATTTACATGTTCAGAAATCTCTTCATAATCCTTTCTTAACATCACCAAGTTAGCTGACTTTTTCTTTTTCTCTTTTTTTTTAAAGAAAATTGTAGATAATAAAGTAAAATAAAAAATTCAAGTGACCAGTACAATAACAATAATCTGTGACACTGTGCACAGGTTAGGGGAAAAGATGATATTTGTTTTGGAATCTTAAATATACTTTGTGGCAGTTTTTTTGTAGTGTTATGGAGTTTTTATGTTTACATTCCAGCCACAAGACCCTTTGGCAGATGTGTTAATCAGTGGTGGAAAGTAACTAATACTTTTACTCAGGTACTATATTGAAGTACAATTGTGAATTATCTGTACTTGAGTATTTCATGTTGTTACTTCATACTTTGACTTCACGACATTTTAGAGGCAAATATTGTATTTTTTACTCCACTACATTTAATTGATAACTTTAGTTACTAGTTAAGATTCAAGATTTTTATTTGCCATTTATGCATAAACAGACAGTCTAGGCATATAGGAATTTTTGTGCAGGGTACTTTTAGTACTGTATGTTTTGATGCTAATACTTTTACTTGAGTAAATGATCTGAGTACTTTTTCCACCTCTGGTACTAATTATGCAAAGGAGAAGGGAATTTGATGTTCTCACCAAGCGAGGAGGGAAGGAAGCGTTTGGTCATCAAAATAGCAGGTGGCTGATTGTCCATGTGCTTTTTACTGAACAGCAACATCTACTCATGCAAGTGAAGATAAGGGCAATGTACAGCTAATGCACATACAAACCAGCACGGAGGATTTCAGTAACATGGGGTCTTTACAGAATAAAGATGTTCACATCCTGTGCTCAGAAAACATTTGTCCAGCTCCTGTTGTAAGACTGAAAAGTGAGTCACAGTATAACTAACCATGCACACGGCCCCCAGATGTTCCTGTTGTTATCTTTTGAGAGTGTGCTGCTGGTTGTGCGAGATTTAATCAAGGTACTCACATTAAAAGACACATGCATAATTGCACGGGGCTTGATGACTGTACCACTTTGCTCAAATTAGGGACTGCAGATGGAACGGTCATACCTTTCACGCCTCGTCCTACTGCATTCAGATGGATGCGGGGACTATATCAAAATGCATCCTACACACACCTGTGAGTGACAGATGGTGGTCCAAATCTGTGCCTGAGCTAACCCAAAGCAGTCTGGTCCATTTATATAGTACCTCCATGTAGCATAAGGACATAGAAACAGGATCTGATTTGTAAGTGGATATATATTTAGTTTAACACAGGGGCAGATGTATTAAGTAGGTACATTATATAACCAAAACTTTGAGCTTGCTGAAGTGGGGGGAAAATGTCACTTGGCCTTTGTAGTGTTTTATATGGCTATGATATGCTATACTGTGCACTCAGCATAGCTCAACATGAAAGCTGATCAAAATAGTTATGAACAATAGCTTGTAGTTCATATTTTCCTACACAAAAAGTGAGACTTCAAATTTTAGTTTCAGTTTGACTTTAAAGAGGCTATAAACACTGATTTTATAACAATGTGCCAAACGTAAGGGGACTTTCAGCTCATTGTTTAGCTGTCTGGCCCACACATTTACTGTTTCAATTCACTCTCACTGCTCTCACCATGTCGTTGTCCAATGCAGCAGGCAGCTGTTCTCCACCAAAAAGTTCTACAAAAAATTTCAATACAAGACCTGCTCTGCACTGAACAGCAGACGGACACGTTTAAAGACAAGCTGCTGAACATAGTGGAGCATTTAGGGCCTAAAAATCCAAATATTTATTTCATGATAAAAAGCTGAGCTAAAAGAGAGTGAAATATTAGAACATACTTGCCAGATAGCCAGAAACATGACTCCAAGTACATGGTAATATTGCTATGTAACTGCTGAAAATAATTTGCTAACAAGTTCGCCATACCAACTTAAAGATGATACTGTATGTTGATGTTTCCGCTGCCCCCAAGTGGCCAAAAAAGGTAAAGTTAATGCAGGCTTAAGATGGGAATTTTTTTGTCATTGTGGTTATGAGTGTTCTTGGGAAGGTGAGATTAAACCTTAGGAGTCTTGTAATATTTTTGGCCATTTCAGCTGATTTTTATTATTTTTTTAAATAGTTTTGAGTTTACCGTTATAAACCGCATGAAGATATGTTTACATGCCAGTGTTTGGTATGTTTTTCTTCAGCACAGCTTTTTTTGACCTGACAATTATTTGTACATTTTGACAGGCAACATCAACATGCGTGATCATGGACTCCTGGGGGATAAACCTTCTAATTGTGCATCTTTTCAAAGATAATACCAGCATCAAAATGAATGTCTTGTTGCCATGGACCTGACATTCTACTATAATTCTTTGACATCATTTTTTTTTCAGTAATTGTTTGGAAACTAGTGAATCTTTATTACCTGATTTCATTCAACTGACTGTGTTCCTTTGGTTTTGTAGTCTTCCACTGATTTCCAGGGCCACCTCAAAGTTTCCAACTGGCATTGTACAGTAGGTCAAGCTCAATGACTGGACTGTCTTTCTGGAGTTAGTATAGTAAATAATCCACTGTTTCTGCCCAAGGACACTTCACTGAGATGGATGTTTGATATACTTGAATCCAGGCTGTCCAGTCGAAGGAGGTCCTCTGTAACCACGGGGTCCACTGCTCCACCCTAGCATGTCAGAAACAAGGTGAAACTGAAATACACTGCAGCCTCTTTTGTGCTTTGTGTGATTGTTGTAGAAATGTACTGCATCATAAAACACCTCTCAGTACCTTTCTGGTACTGAGAAAATTATGCATGGTGGCACAATGGTTAGCGCTGTCACCTTGAGCCCCAGCTGACCCAGGGCCTTTCTCTGCGGAGTTTGCATGTTCTCCGTGTGTCTACGTGGGTTCTCACTGGGTGCTCCAACTTCCTCCCACAGTCCAAAGACATGCAGCTTAAGTTGATTGGTGACTCTAAATTGCCTGTAGGAGTGAGTGTGAGTGTGTGTGGTTGTTTGTTTACATGTCAGCCCTGAGACAAACTGCCAACCTGTCCAGGGTGTATGCTGTCTCTCGCCCAATGTCAGCCGGGATTGGCTCCAGCCCCCCTGCGGCCCTCTTCATGTGTATAGATAATGGATGGATTGATGGATGAGAAAATTATGAAATAAAATTAGAAATTCAAATGGAGTTAGAATCAGTATGAAAAGCTACAGCAGATTCAAACCAATTACACCTCCTCTTGTGGAGATTAAGGAGGTGGATATCAAATCTTTCATAATGATGACAAGGGGGCTTATGTTTCTGCCTCTGTAACCAACACGGCGTGACTCACGTAGTTTGGGAGAGACAGATAATGTGACAGGATAGGGCTGGAGGCTGCCCTTAATATTGGATGTGTGGCTAAAGTGGCCTAATGGCTTAACACTGGTGTGTTTGGGACAGGAATAGCTTGTTATCTGCATGTGTGTATGCATACGTGTGTGTGTGTGTGTGTGTGTGTGTGTGTTCATGTGTGTCCATCCAAGTGTTTGACTCAGAATTAAATCAGCTATTACAAACTGCATATTATCCTTTGAACTTTTAACCTTTCACCAAAAGTATGCAGACTGAGTAGGAGTCTTCTTTCCTGAAATATCACAAGAAAATACAAAAAAAAAAAAAAAAAAAAAAAACCCTGAAGAGTCAGAGATGGCGTCTAGAACAATCTGGCAGCGTCCCGGTGGGAGGACTCTGCCTAAATAGGGGTGAAAAAAGGTGCAAACACTGCAGGTGAAACTAATGTGAGTGATGACTTAAGTAAAAAGACCGAGACTGTGGTGAAAACAAAAAGCATATTCTTTTCTGCATTGCCCAGCCTTTTTACATGCATGAAATGTGTAACACTTTGAATACACACATTGACCCTGTTTAGATGTTCCTGTGTGCTAGTGTTGGGATATCATTATCAGAGGCAGACAGAGAGAAAAGCAACGCAACAGAGGGGATGAAAGATATGGGGGATTGTGACGCTCTAATAGTGTTTGTTCCCTCCTGCTCTCTCTCACTGTGCAAGTGCATATGTGTGTTAAAAGCCCCTCAGATATCCTTTCACTCAAAGCCAACATCCACTTTCTTTCCTTTTTCTCTTTTCTTTTCTCTTGCACACAGAGGACATGTACACATATGTATGGACAGGAGCTTCCATTTCCATGCTTGCATTCCTGATGGATCGCACATCAAACAAGCTGTTACAGCTGCTACAGTGTGTCAGTGTTCATGTGTGGAAAAGGAGAGAGAGAATGACTGACCTTCACGCGTGTGCATGTATGTGATGGATGTGAGGCAGTGCAGAGGAGGCGGCAGAGAGAACAAGATAAAGAGAGCTCAGTGTTTGGTGATGAGGGGGCCTATGTGAGAATAAGAGTGTTAGAGGAAGACGACAGCCGCTATGAGCAAGCCTGTGTGAAAGAAGTATAGCTAATTGTGCATGTGAGAGTTTATCGGAGCATGTGTGTGAACAACTAGAAGGACTTGTAGTATTCTCAAGCTGAAGTGAGGAGGTGAGTTATGAAATTATGCATTATAAAATCATTATAGCTTCTGTTTTCTCAGTCTGTCTGTCTACAAATGTGCTTCTCTCAAAGGTTTCAAATTTCTTCCTTGAACAAATAAACTTATTTAGGCACAATGTCACAGATTTACCTTAAGTAAACCTACATACCTTCATGCTCATTGAATCACTTACACATATAAGCTTTGCTAATGACAGAACTACATCAAGCTAATAGTTTACTATATTCTTTGTGGAGTATTTTTGCATTAAAATTACACTATATAATTGCTGATGGGTACAAGACCAGTGTGTTTCTGTGGAAAAAAATGCCACAGTTTCACTGTCTGAGGCTTGAGTAGTAGCTGTCTTTTGCTGTGTCACAGATCTCACAAACAACCTGTTTGTTGATTCATTCACTGTCAAAGTTTTGCTGTCCTCACCTCTGTGTTCTCAGTCTCTACGAATCAAACACAAGGGCCTTGTGCTGGACTGGGGCAAAATAACGCATATTTTCTCTGTCCGCTTGTCTTTGAAAACTCGGTTTTCTTGGTCACCTATAATTTTCTTTGGATTGGCCACATGTTGTACACTGACAGAAGACGCAGAAGTCTCACTTTCTTTTGCCCAGGGGACAAAATGTGAATACCCGTTAGCCCTCCCTTGACCTCTGTTACTTGTTAACGTTTAACCGGCATACGTTTGCCGGCTGACAACGTTGCTGTGACAATGATGTCAAAGAGGGAAACGATTGCGTTTACCCTTATTCCCGGGTCAGGGTCGCTGTAATGAGCGCCAAATAGACTATATTCTACAAAACAAATAAATTACTTATAAGTATAGAACATTTTTTAAAGTAGGAAACATACACCTCATTGCACTGTATTATTGCCTTCCTAATACGAGGTGTGGGCTGGGTCTGAATTGACCTGATCCTGGATCCTGACCTGAAGTCCTGCTCTAGACCATCATTGTACAGATTACAGGAACCCACACACACAGGCACACACACATTTTAATAGTTGCCTTAGGACTGTCTTTTCTAAGATTAAAAGGTTCAGAAAGTGGATCAGGAAGCTCTTATAAGCTCTCCTATCTCTGTAATGCTACAGGGCCTACTGCATGTGTGCATGTGTCTGTGTAGTGAAGGTTTGTTTAATACGTCCTGTGCCCTACTTTTTTAAATTTTATCCTTTATTATATCTTCTTTGGCAAGTTTTGGCAACATAACTAATGTCATATAATGATCCTTCAAAAATGAAAGATATTCTGTTTCTCAAACAAAACAAAATTTCAGTTTACTTCAGTTAATACTGTTCTGAGCTGACCCTGAACACTGAACTTTACTTAACCGATGAAGTATTCTTTTACTATTTCTAGGCATTTAGCTTTGTAAAAAATTTGTGCTCAAATTCTTCGGCTATTTCTGTCTCTGTTTTGACTTTTCTTTTTGACTCACACTTTTTCAATAGTGAAAAACACGACACTTATCAGAATGTCTGCTTCACTATCTTTACCTGAAGACAACAGCTCCCTTTATATATAGTATATGGTATAACATCACCTGCTATAGTGTAGCATAACCTGACACAACCTGTTTTCCTTGTCTGAGAACTGGAGTCTGTCTGCAGCCTGTGAGGCTGTGAACAAGGAAGGGTGCATATCTCCAAGCTCTGCTGAGTCCCATTTGTCCCATGTGACTCTCACAGAGTGGCTAGATCCAGAAAAGTCCTAAAATGTTATCACTTGTATCTTCTTGATTTGCCTTGCAGAGGCATAAAAACTCGAAAACACACAAAAACTGTATTGTTGGCAAAAAATATATTTTTTTCTTGATGCCATTTATGCAAAGATGTCTACAAATTTCTTCAACGCACACAACTGAAAAAGGTTCTTCAGAAAGGATAATGCCTTTTTATGTGCTGCACTTGAGCTTTTGTGAAACATTGGGTGAAGTTTGGATCTCCCTTTATGAAATGCTCTTTAATCCTTTGTACTGTATGTCCTCCTTAACCTCCTCCTGACTGTTTGGGTTCCCTCTGAGCAGTGTTTGTAATTTTAATTTTAGCTCTTTCTTCATACCATACTTGTTCCAAATCTATCATATTGCTCGGTTGTCTGCTAGGAAGCTTTATTTTATTATCATTGTAACATGTACAACGAAATTCTGTTTGGAGCCAAGGGCCCCGGGAGGCTGCATGCATACACACTGCCATCACGGGCAACTTGGGGGGTTCAGTGTCTTGCCTGAGGACGCTTTGGCATGTTGACTGCAGGCGCCAAGATTCAAACCTTCAACATTCCGGTTGGGAGACGACTGCTCTACCCACTGCAGCCATTGTACAGCCCTCTTCAAATCGATCCACAGGTTTTCAATGATATTTAAGTCTGGAGACTGGTAAAGCATTGGTAAAACATTCCCCTTATCCTTTTTAAACCATTCCTGAGTTGACTTGGTACTTTGAATCATTGTCTCATTGAAGGATCCACTGCCTCTTCATTTTTAGCTTTTGAACTGATGGTAGGAGGCTTTGCTTTAAAATCTTGATATTGGGCTGCATTCACTCTTCCTCACGCTTTATGCAGAGCTCTCGTGCCTGATGCAGACAAACACCTCCAAAGCATCAGTGAGCCTCCACCATGTTTGATTGTGGGAACGGTGTTCTTCTCCACATACCTGTGCAAATTATGACCAAATAACTTAACTTTATCCTCATAAGAACACATAATCTTGCTTGTTAGCAAATTCCAAGCACACTGCCTTGTGTCTGGAAGTAAACAGTGGCTTCCTGTTGTATGATTTGCTCTTAAACAATCCAGCCTTGTTTAGATTATGCTTGACTGTGGAGATGTGGACTCTTATTCCATTTGTCTCTGATGACTTTGTCAGGTCTCTTGCTATTTGTTTTAGATTCTTGTGTGGCTCTCAAGCAATTTTCCTAGCACCTCTTTCAGTTACAATATCACTGAAAATCTGTGGAAGGCTGTACAGACAACCAAGCAATCTGGTAGACATGGAAGAAGTGTGCCCTGAAGAATCAAATTGTTTGCTGGGAGAAATATTTGTTGTATGTGTTTTTGTGTAATTTGTAGCTTTGACTTTCCCTCAACCAACCTGGATTGTTGGAAATTATAACGGGTGATTCAAACTGCACTTGCAATTCTTTTATGAGACACAGTGGTGCTATGGGGAGATACTCTGTAAACCCACTTTTGAAAATGATTGTACAAGTGTTTATACTAAAACCTTTTGTGGTAAAAGCCATTCTGTATACCTTTCAGTTCTAGATGTACTGCTAAAATGTTGCAACATACTATTTTATCAACCACAAATACTGATGGGCAGGATGCCTCGAAAGGCAGCAGAGATGAGTAATGTCCAAATAGTAGTGGCAGCAACATGCAGCATTTTTTATCATATTGGCTTTGTTCTTTGCATTGATTTGGTCCCAGTTTTAGATCACCATCCCATCATTGCCCGTCTTCAAAGGCAAATAGCTGTGGCTCACACATCAACCCCATCCCAGGTTTTGCCATCAGCTATTCCACTGTTCCTGTGAATGAAATGTAATTTTTTTCAGCTCTCAAGCTGGAATTTGAGGTTCCTTTTATTGCCATATTTATAAAAAAATACAGCAATATGACTCTTGGCATGGTTAATCTTTGATCTATCCCTGATTTACTGTGTGTGTGCCCATGCACTACATTCTGTACGCACAAACCATGTGAGAGACTGATTGTGTTGTACCACTGTGATTTCACATTCAACCCAAGCACTGCATGTTCCTCCACAAAGCTTCTGCAGTCTTTGTATTCATGTCCTCTGCTCAAATCTAATTTAGTTTCACTATTTTGATTGTAATCACATGAAAAAAGTAGATGTTTTCAAAACCTCACCAAACCAGTGTTGCAGATCAATATTAATACATTTTTTTCCTGCTAGTCTCGTTGCTGTAGTCTCAATAAAGTGCTTTGTTTTTCACTTTTTTTACAGCATATTGGCTCACACACAACAAGGTTTGGAGTTACCCTATTTTCTTTTTTATTTTCTTGCTTGTTAAGACGGATAGATTGAAACAGAAATGCCAACAGCCAGTTGAAATAATATCAAACTGAATAGAGAACATTCAAAAGAGAGTTGGCAATATTTGTCTCAGTATTGCTCTAGTGGGGAAAATGTCAGACTCCAAACTGTCTTTTGCATTGTTTTCCTCACTAGATTTATCAGATAGAACCAAAATATAAGCACCATTTGACTCTGACCTCATTTGAAGTTAAGTGTGATGTGCATGTGTTTAACTTCCAGCACACATGCAGTCATAATGGACATCATGGTCAAATATGAGACATCTTGTTTTGAGCAGCTAAACTCTGAAAATGAGCAAAATGTACATAATCAAAGTTTTAGAATATTTTAATGAGCAGTAAAAAGTAATTTAAGAAATCTAAGAGTTTATATATTTACTTATTTATTGTGTAAAAATCACATGAGGCATTTTATTATTCAAAGCAGAGTCAATTAAAATGTCTTTATGTATATAATATACTGGAGGGGACCTTTAAAGAAAAGATATTGCAGGCGAAATTGTGCAACAATACAAATAAAGTCTAACTTACCCTTTGCCCATCCTTGGTGTTTTAGTGCCACAGGGGAACTTTTCCTTGTTTTAAAAGGTCTGTTGTTAAAGGACTGGATATGTAATACTGGGTACAGTGGTCTCATCTTGATAGTTACTGTACTCTGCTTGTAGTTCAGATGGTGGATCTTAAGGTGTCGGAACGCGATGCTTTACAGACTGGGCAGAACATAAAGGGGACTGTTAAGACACCACTAATGTTTGATGGTGCTTGAGTGCTAGAGAATAAACACCTATGGTTCAGTACAAAGTGTATGACTTGACATTGGCCTACTGATTGCATCTCCTCTCTAATCAGTGTTTAAAGTTAATGTCTGTACTCGTGTAATTAAATAGGTTTACTTGACAAAATTGAATGTTGGGACATGGCAGCGCAACCCTAAATGGTTTTTGGGGTAATCTAATGTCAGTTTGTCCAAAATGGGACGATCCTGTGAGGAAGTACGATTCCAGCACACTTTGTAAGGTGTCATTGTTCCTCTGTTGCTTGTTTTGCTATCGCAAGGTATAAATGAGAATCAGAATACGTGGTATGTCAGCTTACGCACTTTGTCCTTGCTGTATTTTTCAGGTCCTGTTGGAGTTTAAAGAGATGAAGAATTTACCCCTCTTCTTCCTCCTCCTCCTCCTCGCTTCAGGAGCCTGTGACGATGTCAAGTACATCTCCAAGAGGAACTCGGGTAGGATGACCAGCCTTTGTGTTTGTCTGCAGGTGCACCGAAGCTGTGTCATTTTGCTGATGAGCCTGTCTCTCCTAACAAGTTCCCAGTTCCCTAAAAAGTTTTTTTGAGGATTTTGTTTTTTTCTGATATTCCCTTTATGTTTTGTTTCTGTGTCACACAGACACTCCAGTTTTCTCTCGATAATGCTGCCTCTTGTCCTTTCTCATACTGCTCCTCCTCACTCTCATATTCTCTGCTGCCATCTAATATGTGGTCCATCTCTTCTTTCCCCAACATTTCTCTCCACTTTCATCTTATCTGATGCATTGATAACTTCATGCAGTGAATATACTGTATATGTTTATTTTGCTGCAGCCATTTCTGTTTTTTTTCTCACTCACCATCTCTGTCTTAGATAACACCCCTCTCCAAACTATCTCAAAGCTCAGATGACTATTTCTCTGTTTCCTTGCCTCTCCATTCTTCTGCGCCGTGTTAATGATCAGCCTGTCTGACTACCGCTATCACTTCTGGTGCTGTTGTGCTCATTTGTGTATCAGTGACCAGCTGATGACAGATCCGCTCATGGTCTTTTTTCCCTGATTGATTTGTTGTATCTCACTGACCAGTCTAAAAGAGAGAGTCTGATTGGGCTATTGATGTTTGGCAATTGGTCTCAATAATGCTTTGTATGATGCTCTATGGTGAGCTAAGTATATGTGAGCCAAGGATCAGCTGCACATTCTCTGCATAGCCTCGTCTATATATGGATGTTTCATGCTGTTTTTGTGCTCGAGTAACATCATTCATAATACATAGTGTGTGTCTTTTTCAGGTAGAGGTTCTGTAATCATAAATCTTGCTAACAGCAGTTGTAGTTTTATTGTCATGCACCCTTGACAAATACTGCAAGTGGTAAAAACATAGGAAATTGGCAAACAGGAGTCATCTAATTATAATGATTCAGTTAGAATTGATTCCCCTGTGATGCCATCCTGTTTCACAATTATGCTTGCTTGTAAGTAAGAAGTGGTTTATTTAACCCTTGTGTTCTGTTAAGGATCTTAAGGGAATTTGAGAGCAACTATCACACACCTTTAGAGATTATTAGGGCTTGTTCTAGCTGTAATAAAGTCACTTTCGGCTTTTCCCGTTTAGGGGTCGCCACAGCAAATTGTCACACTGACGACTCGCATATTGACATTTGGCACTGTTTTATACCAGATGCCCTTCCTGACGCAACCCTGACTCGAACCCGGGCTGCAGCTGCGAGAGCGCTGCATCTTAACCACTAGCCTACCAGGGATGGCTGCTTGTTAGCTATACTACTGAAATATAATCGATTGCTTGTTCTTTAGAGGCCATAAAGATGTGTTTGTTAGTTGGCTTCTTCCCATGAGATATGTTCACTCTACATAAGCACACTGTTTTCTGAGATAGAACCATTTTGGTTATTTCACATTGTTTTAAATATGCTTTTTATACTGGTGTAAAGTTGTCAGGGCTCAGTTGGAAAAGACAACATCACAAACCAGTCAGAATATAGCAACATCTCAACCAGAATCTGATGCTTAGAAAAATAAGCTTGTTCCTTTTCTTCTGGAGAGTTGGATGAAAATTTTGGTACCACTTACATCTGTACAGTAAATATAAATTTTAATACTCAGTATCGAATTAGTTTCACTTGTCGTAGTGGAAATTGTTAGTCTGCCTCTGTCCAAAAGTAACACAATCCACCCTTTTTTGGTCAGAGCTGGACTCACTGTTCCCCCTATTTCCAGTCTTTATGCTAAGCTATGGTTTTAGCTATGCTTAGCTAATGGTCTTCTGACTCCACCTACACATTTGCTGTACTCATGTGATATCTATCTACTCATCTAACTCTCAGAAAGAAAGCGAATAAGTGGATTTCCCAAAGTGTGAAACAATTTATAAAATAAATATCTAAAAAAAATGTTATTTGTTTGTTGTTTATTTAATCATGAATATCTAAAATTAGAGAGAAACAGTTAAGGAGGAGGAGCTTAAATGTTTCACAGACAAAGAAAAACTGCAACAGGGACAAATCAGGGCCCATTTATGGTCATTTAATATAGGCTCTATGTATAAATGAAATGACTCTGCTGTCTTTACTTCTTCTAAAAGGTCAAAGGTCAGGGTCATACAGAACAGCAGTCCTGTATCTGGCAATAGTGGAGGACAGCTGAGCAGCTATTTAGCAAAATATGTTCCAGGCTACCCACACCCACATAAGATCTTCCCTATATGTGGCAAAACATCCAGGCTGCAATGTTATGGAAGTGATCCTGTTTTGCTAAAGTTGTTCTTAGGGGAGTGTAAATCCGTTTCAGTTGCTATGTGAGGGCATGTTTTTGTGTTCACAGCAATCTTTGCTCTTTTACTGTACTTTATCTTCCTTCATCTTCTCTCACCTCTTACTTTCTGCATGTG